AATTTTTTAGTACTTTTAGCCGGTTGTACAAAGCATCGTGCCAATACTTGTACCATTTAATGATTTGACACTCGTTCGACCCCCATAATCTTTGATATGGCGTTTTGCAAGACAGGAACTTCATACAGGCTCAAAACCCATATAAATGAGGTCAAATCAAGGTGTGGATTATCAAGAAGCTGTACCTTAGCGGTCGATTAACTTCTTTCTTACTTAGAATGCGAAACTTGTAGAGCAAGCGTCAACGTGTCAGTCAATACTAACTACTAATTCAAACACTATCTTAGAGAAGAGCGGCAATTTCTGTAACGTCATTAGGGCACAAGCAGGCATAGCGAGCACAACATATCCTGGCCTGGTGGTGGATGACTGACGGCTGCTTCGTTGCATTCAACCAGCTACACAGAATTACACAACTTGCGTCAATACGAAAAAAAATATGATTTTCCTTATTATTGTTGTAAAACTTGGCTTTCGCGTTGCCTTCAGGTCCTAAATTCACGTTTTCTAGTTCTGGTTTGCTTATTGCTCTATTTTTGCTCTAATCATTACTCGGTATCCGATCATTATCTCTCTGTTACGATGTACGCGGTAGTCTGAGATCCCTAATAGATAATTTACTCTATTCACTTGATCATCTTAGCCTAATTGTAGTGTTCGTTTAATAAGTAAAGGAGCAAATAACGCACTTAAAAAGCTATCGCTTAATTTTGATATTCCTACGTTTACATAGTATTGTAGTCTTTTCAATAAGTTCACCAAAAGCAATACTACCAGGCGGCCAATAATGAACCAGGTGCGTGTTACATGTATCATACGAGCTCTCAGCTGGGCACACTTAATCCATTTGACTGGGAACCAATTAATGCAGGTTTAATTTATATCAACAGTTGGTTCGAGCTTCGATACCCAGCCTGAACGTTCCTTAGCAATTAGCAAGTTTTGTTTGGCCTACGATCGCTCTGAATGAACTAGAGCTCAGCAGTCGTTCAAGATCTAAGCACTGACGTAGATAAGCTGAAACAAGGTTTCAACGCGTTTTTTCCTGCATGAGAATTTGTTTCAGTACCATAAGTATTCTTTATCCGAAAGCTAAGATATCTGCCTAAGAATTCAAAGGTGGCTTTTATACGATCCTGGACTCTTTATGCTCTTCGATTTTAGCATTAAGGAAGCAGAATGTTGCAAACAATATAACACAGAATGATACTAGCAAATTTCAATGTTGAATAATTGTTTTGAAGCAATTGGGTTTTGTTTGAGTACATAATTGCATTCGTCACAGTAGAACGAAGGCTACTGAAAATAGGCCACTGTCAGACACGTACACCAATGATATCAAGATCTATGTGAAAGGCAAAACTAGTAAAGGCGTGCAGTACGTCCAATAGATAGACCGTTCGGCGTGTAAAAGACACGATACGCAGTGTGTTAACCTTGAAACATTTGCGACAACACTGTGCATGCAGGATAGCAGACCTTAACTGGGGCAGTATTCTACGAAGATCCGGCTGTAGTGCTTCATAGAGGCCTCTAATTTCATATTCCCATATGAAGCGTGGTACTCATGGTTGTCAGAATTTGATGAAATATCATATAATTCTTTAGTTGTATCCGAATTAATATATTGTGCGCGCATATAGGTCGCTAAACATTCGCGTAGTACTGATATTTGAGTCCTAATTTCGCGAAGGTAGTTCGTGATGAAAGGCTTTGCCACTTCCTCGTCGTTAGAGAAAATAATTTAAGGAACAACTTCTCGATCCAGGCCACGGAGGTTGGCATCACTGGTCTTATAAGTCCTGCTTCTACTTGGTGTATGGCTTTCAATATTTTCATGACAATAACTATCGAGTTTATAATGTGCTATTCCTTTGTTAAAGAAAGAACGTGTCCTGAAATTTTTCCTTAAAATAGCGGCAATTTCATTTCAGCGGAAGATTAAAATCGATATGTACTGACTCAGTGGGAACAAATTGCTACACCGGCTCGACTGATTTGATTATCTTACTTGCAAATAATACTGAAACTTATCCGATAATATGGTATCAAGTTAAAATGATTCGTTATGAGAACGACGTGTCCATTGGCAAACTCCAACCAAACATTGGCCTACTCTAATCGTAGTAATCAAAACCACTTTTAGTGTCAATATGCATCGTATGCATGCTCATATTAACTATGCTTCGAATTATGTGATCGGACGATAATTATCCTTCAGTCGAGGCTGGAGAGCGGACTATTCGACGTAACAGCCAGGAAACGCGGTCATCTTTGTTAGTGTCAACGGACTTCCGTTGTCCTCATGCCGTTTGGCCGGCTGTCCCTTTACCTTCCCCACGTTGTATTTTTTCCTTCGTCCGGTTTCGTCCGTCAATAGAGTTACTGAAGCGAGGCAGGCGTAGGATTAGGGACGCGCGAATTCTCATCGAAGTGCCTCTCCAACACAGAGAAAATTTACCCTTAGCACCGCCACCCAACGACCATCGCCGCGGTCCGCTACCGCTTTCAGTTCCGCCCTATAGCCAAGCAGACCGCTCCTCCAGAGGCAACGACCAATGGATGGAGAGAAGCCCTTCATTACAAATAGGAGAAAGAGTCATTACAGGACCGACAACCCTACGAAGCCCACCGATGGTCGCGATGGCCCAATCGGCTTCTCAGACCACAAATAGATACATGTGTATGTGTATATATATGTACATCACTAGCTAGCACGCTCACGTAATAAGTTGTTGGCGCTACGTTGCTAACTGGCGGTCGTTTGGGCAAGGCGTCCGAGTCAGCTCCATCGCCACTGCTACTATCAGTCCAACTAAAACCAAAGTGTACAGTGCCCCATCGCTGGCCTATCGTTCTCGCTCCTTCAATCTCACGCATTCACTCTTCCCTCTCTGTCTCTGACGTCCGCCGTTACTTAGCTTGAATCGACGCTGGTCGTTGCAACGGTTTGTTGAGCCTTCTGCAACGTCTTCTTTTCGAGTGCACTGCTGATGGCAATGGCAGCCACGCCGACGACGGCACCGACTAGCGGAAAGAATTCTCTACCGCTCTCCTTCAGTCAGCACAAGGGGCACGAATAAACGGATCAAATGGATGGCTAGCTGCTCGGTCTTCCAGCCGGCCCGTTGACTGCAGTGTTCGAAATGGCCCTAACGAGCCCACTAACACCTGCAGCACACTTTGCGCACAAATCCTGTCACTACTAGGAATAGGGGGTCGCCGTAAGGAGAACCATAGTAAAAAGACTCGCCAATCGGTGTCTTTATGTCCAACGGCGCTGCCGCAGCACTCAGCCACTACACAGGCGATGCGGGGTGAACCAACGACAGCCGTGGCGGCTACTAGAACCTGCAGCAGAGCATGCTGCAACTGGTCTGCTAACGGGTCGCTGTTGCCGCTACCCCTAGGCCTTCTCCTTCGTAATGCCTTGTGTTAATGCAGCAATTCAACAGCGTTCCGATCCTCATGGCTCGCAAAGGCCCGAGCTTATCATTTCATAGGGAAACTTTGGCCGTTGCGTTGGGATGGTAACCTTTCCCTAAACTTTCTGGTCGTCCTACGTTGCTAATGGAACTACGCAAAGTTTGGGGGAAAGCTGGATGAGAATGCCAACTAGCCAGTTGTACAGACCTTATAATGGCTGGAGGTGGGGGAGATGAAGGGGAAAACGCGATGGTGTTTTCTTTTCTGTAAGATGTAGTTGTGAGGGCGGTGTACTTTTGCTTCCATGTTTACGCGTAACGCGTTTGTCTGTAGGAGCTTAAGTGCAGACGCGGTTCAATTGAAGGAATTGGTAGGTGGTGCCACAGAATGGCTACTTGGAGTGGTTCATTCAGCTGTTTATTGTATGGGGATATGGTGGTTGCTCCTTGTGTGCGTACATGACCCAAAAGTAATTATGCCTTTCGGCATTAGATGGTGGCAAAAAATGGAAGCATCTGTTTTTTCGCATCATTTTTAGTAGAAACTACAAGCTTTATCTGATGACTTTGTTCTAGTTTTGACAACCAGTATTTTATATTTTAAAATTACCTCTATGTTGTCCAGCAGCTCCTATAGCATCTTAACATCTCTAAGATAATGCAAAACAGGTTGGAGTGCTTCCAACAAAACTGCTCAAACTTAATAGAATATCGTGTCAGTTTAAGGAAACTTTCCTTTATGGCACGCAGAATCTTTCCAATTATCCGAAATTTAATTATAGACGAAAAGTTATCGTGCAACTTTTCTCATATGAGTCGTTCTACGAAACCTCTAGGATCATACTCTAGTAAAGAGAGGTGACATCAATAGATTCATCAACACCAGCCGCACAATTCGTACCTTAAAACCGTACGGGAATTCAGCGATGAAGTGACTATCTTTCTACTAGAACCGATTGGCGCAAACGCTGAAGCAGACCACTATGTTTCGTTAGTCGACAATGCCTTTTTATTTGGTTGCCCTATCGAATATATTTCTACTTACCTGTAGAAATCAGACTTTAGAAAAACTAGCTCTGCAGTAGCAAAAAGCAAATAAACAAATGCACATTTTTTTTTTACCCCTCCATGAACACTTTACCACCGAGCACAAACGATTTCCTGCTGTACATACTACCTATCTTTCGAACTATAACGATAACTATAATCAAAATTTCTTGTTTAATTTTCTAGTCAACGTCAAGCAGGGGCACCGCCTTGTATAGGTGACAATTTGCGAATGTACCCACTATCGTGTTGCTGACTGTAGATACATCGCAAACGTTTATAGACATTAATTTCAAATGCTATTTGACTTGACTGCGGTATCAATTCATAGTTTGAACGTTCAACAAAGCAAAGTTCCTTCTAGAGACGGCAAATTTTGAAACAACTAAAACTTTTTTGCGTTACATACATATATATATATATATATAGATCTAGTGTCTTCTAGCACTACGTCTTCTTCATACGGATTCCCATTTTACTCCTTAGACAACGGATGAAAAACACAAAGCTTTGTTTCAACATGTTTATTGTCGTCTTCATCATCAGTTATAGTTTTAGTTGTGATACCATATTTTCACATATTGGTTTAGACATCCGTATTGTATGTACAGCGTCAGGTCAGTGTGTGTGTGTATGTGTGTTTTTACTTATTGTTTATTATATGGATTCAATGTGACGTGAAAGTAGAAAAGTACCGAGTGCAACTGCAAACCTGCACTGCTCTGCTCTGCTCTGCTTATATCTTATCCATTTAGTCTATTCTTTTTTTGTTTTAGTTCTCGACGTGTTTGTTCTTGACGTCATTTGCGCTGTTTTTATAGAACCGCATTGTATTTCTACGACATACTGTTTTCAGTGTGATATTTGTCGTCTTGATACAACAAACACATAAGTTCCAGTTTAAATTCACCTACGTTCAGGCCCTATAGGCCTCCTCATTCGATTTTCAACCCTCGACACATGTATGCCTGCCCGTTCACCTGCCTTTGGCAAGTATTAGGCCGAAACTGCTCATTGCTGCTGAACGTGCACGTACGTACTCTCACAGTTATGATTACACCCTTTATTCATATATTACATTGAGATGATGCATCTAATTACAGAAGCACCGTTTGTTATTATTTACGCTCGCACGGCGGTGCGTCCCAAGTGCATTGTACGGGTGCTGTTAATGCTGTTATTTGTGCTGTGTGTCCAAGGTTTGCGCTGGGTTACTGACAACATAATACAATTTTTCCCTTTTAATCTGCTGGGAAGGATCCCATCACCGATATGAAGTTCACCTTCTTACAAATACAGGCGTGTATCAAAAAAAAACAATGTTTAATTTTACGTCGACTACGGCGTTTATGCTGCTACTTACTGATCAGGTTATTGATTGGATTCGATTTGTTCAGCGTGTAACAACAGTTCAGTGTCTCGCACGCGCTTCCATCGCTGAATCACGCGCACCTATTTCACCTTGCTAGAAACATCAGAGGCATGTTCTCTATACGCTGCTTTTCTACAAGCTACTTATGAAAGGTGTTTCTGTTTACCAGTGATTGTGTCATCGTCGATTTTCCCTTCGCAAGTGGGCCACAATTGCGACCAGGATTGTGATGTTTTACATGATAAAATATTACAGCTCTGTTCTCCACAAGATCACACAGTTGAGAACCGCCATACTCACGATATTTGTCCCATTGTAAAATTCTGGCAAGAAAGTGTTTCGTCATTACAATGATTGCAAATAAGCTAGTAGGTCGACTGCGCTACGATGGGGAAACGGCTCGTATTTACACGCGCGACTCATATTAAACACATGTGCCCATCGACAACATAAATGAAGTGCACTGATAAAATCACTTCACAAAGCGAGCCATAAAGAAAGCCATGCGTAATTGTCATGAGCGACGGCAGTGCTTGCAATAGTTGAGAAGAACCGGTTGTGGTAACCTACTGCTATTATAGTAGTAGGTTTGGTAGTTGTACCATTGTAGTAAGTTGCCGCTCTCACCTCGAAATGAAAATCGCACGTGTCACACTTTTATTTTCCGGCTAGTGGTAATTTCGTAATGGTGAGTTAACAGTGACTAAGTTCTTAGCCCCAGCCGGCCTCGCGTCTTCGACGACGAACCCAATTAACTTTGGAATTTTTGCGCACCGTTGCACGCACTTCCAGGACTGTGAATAATCCGTACAAAAAGGACAAACGTGAAAAGGGTTTTTTTTTTTTTTTTTTCGTAGATTTGCCGAATCGTATGAGAACTTAGCGCGTCGTATGGCATTATTGCTCACAGATCCAGAGGTTGATACAGTCACTAACGCACGCACACTCACACGCGCATGCAGGCAGACAAACAGATTTTGCCTATATTGTATAGCTTTTTATATATATATATACTAGACACCTTTGTGTTTTCCCGTGCCGCTGTGGCTTGCAGGCGAAGTCCTGTCTTGTCCTGTACTCTATTCTGTGCTCGGTTTGTCTGGCGTTAAGCTCAGTTCGTTAACATTGTCATCAGTGTCCACCGCGTTAACGGGCTTCATCATAATCACCACTAACAATACTCTCATTAATCATCAGTATAATAACTGATGTATTAATCACACTATGATCAGCATCACTAGCAAAGCTAATCAAAATATAGGGAAAAAGATAAACTGGGTTCGGCTGAATTCTAACGAGAAAAGTTGTAGGCATAACGAGTCCTACGAGAATACCAGATTTTCGTTTGTTTCGTTTCTGTCCCTTTGTCTTGCACTAGAAATCTCATTTTCGAAGATTGGACCAACAACGGGATATCCAATCGACCGTTATTTGTTGCTCCGCCGTGAAAAGGTGCTTTGTGGGGTAGCCTCTTCCTCTTGCGAGAAATCTCTAAATTTTTGTATTATAATAATTATTATTATTATTAATGGTAGTAATAGTTATAATTACCGCTTGTCTCGTCACGGCCTCAGTCACGACTAACTATAGTAGAAGCTGCCTTGAGGGGCTCTAGGATGTGTGTCGGAAGGTATCCGACTTATCGTACTAGGATTTGATCCTGGCACACCCGCTGCCATGTGATGAGCAGTGGGATTGCTATGCGGTGGCGGGTGTCGTGGTAAAGTGCCTGTCAAAATGTTACCTTGCGACGCCCGGTGAAGTGTTGATGTTAACGTTGGCGGAGCGATATGGCCCATTGACAAACTATCGGACGACTCACCCATCGTATCGAACTCACCTGAAGCCAATTTTAGTCGTATATTACAATATGACAAACCTGTATCGAATTTTAATCTGAGTGGAGTCCCACCGGTACAGCTAATACATACCACAGTATGAGCAATTCTATTTATCTACGTTGCGACAATAAAAAAGTCAAGAAAATGCTTGAAAAATATAACAGTCATCTCTCTCTCTCTCTCTCTCTCTCTCTCTATATATATATATATATATATATATATATATATATATATATATATATATATAAGCAGTACAATTCTATTCTGAGGGATTCTGTAAAAATGATGTCATCTAACTTGGATTTCCATGAAGCGTTAAGTAGTACATGGAGCCAAAGCTTAGTTAAAGTAATGCCTAAAGTTACGTTCGCTGGGTATTAGGAATGCGTTAAATTATAGGCGGGTATTCATATCGAAGTCGGTAGCTTCAAGGAAATAGAACAAGCATGCCAAACCCTAACATATCCAAGTCACCGACTCGTTTTCGCGAACCTTATGGGAGCATACGACACTATGAAAGTGTTTGCCTTCTTAAGTGTCACATATGTGCACATTGGACGAACGAATTAGAAACAAATGCTGCGAAGCGGCATCGCCTTCTAGCTAAACTTATCAGTTTTTTCAGGATATCGCATTGTTATCTGTGCTTCGGGAGCTCTACACCAAATGCATATTTATCATTAAGCCAAAGGGGATTTACTCAAAAAGAAGGTTCAATGGACAACACGGATAATCTAGAAGTGGGGGAAGCATGTCTTTCCCCATTTTTCACACGCATCCCTGTGTGCTTCTAAAGAAAGACGACCTCAAGTAAGCTCCATTAACATGAGGCCTCTTTCGACTCTAGGAGTGTTCTTGTCAGCTAGAAGGTCATCATTTATCATGAGCAAGGTCATACGAGGAGGTCGTCCAACAGTGCTAGAAATAAGTGAAGACTGCGGTAACTGTTATCCTTAGAGCACCAGTCTGTAAATTTGACCGACTCCCCACACGCTTCAGCGTGTTTTTCGGTCAACACCCACTTGACGTTGTTGGATTTCTCGTTAACACTTCTTGCTAGTCTTTTTAACCTTTGTCTTTTTTCACTGCTTCCCTTTGGTAGGCTACTACCCAGGCGTCTGAGTTGTTGCCAACATCATTTTTGTGATATCTTTTGCCTAATTAGGCTACTCAAATGACTAAAGTCGATTGCTGTTTTGAGCCTATATTAGCACCTACATATCCTAATCAATAGTGAACAGCAAGTGAGAAAGCTATCGCTTAATTTGCTATGCTAATCTCCTACAGATTGTTGAATACGCCTAAATAATCTTGCGAAGATATCACATGTTGAAAAAAAGTTCAATGAAATTACGTCATAATACATCGATGCTAATATAGCACATTACTCACAAGTGTCTGGTGTGAGAACGACAAGTTTTTTTCGCTGCTGTTTTGTTCGGCCCCTGCTACGGCTGATCGATCCAATTAAACATGCCATGCTTACGACGAGGCAGACGCAAATGACGCCTCCTCCCACGAACACCATAACCTGTTGTCGGGGCGCACCACCGATGTTACGCCACAGCAGGTCAAGGAGGCCAGGTAAGCCCCCAGACGAGGAATTTCCTGAACTACCACTTGATGAGTCCGACAGTCCACCACCGGCCACACTTCCACTGCGAACCGTTGAGCTTGACATCGACGACCGTAGCTGACCGCCGTTATTCGCTGTAGATTAATGGAATACCAAAATAGCGACGCTATCAGCAATATCGAAATACGTATGTGAATTTGTAACATTATGTAGGTATCACACAGGGTATACACAGGGCTACTTAGTATATTGAGGAGGCGACATTTTTGGGTCAGCATTACGCTTGTGTGCCTAGTAGACCATTATTTCAAAGCTGATTCTCTCATCAACGCAGTATTATCTTGAAGCACCGTATACATAACAACATACCTAGTTGCATAACATTGTATTATATAATACTAGAGAGCTGGCTTCCTTGTTTGGAACACCTAATAACCGTTTTACGTATAAGCACAGTGTAGCCGCCTGCCGCTAACGAATTGTACTAAATATTATATAACGCGAACGTTTACTATAGCTTAGATTAGATTGGGCGTCGCAAACCGTTATATATACTACTCTGACATAAGAACCCTTAGAAACTAGCGGCTTCTCAAAACCAGCTGCCAACCAAAAAAAAAAAAACGAAAAAACCAAAATGTGATTGACAAATCAATTGGCAGACAGCGTAAATCGACTTACTGTACTAGACGCTTCCTGTTGTTACCCGCTGGGATCATGCTAGCAATAGCAGGCAGCATTTTTTCAGAGCAGATCGTATTTCCCAGTGATAATTTCTTCCCTTTAAGTGTAGCACCTTAGAGATTAGGGACCGCACGTAAAAAGAACGAACTACAGATCACCCCCCGTTCTAAATATTCGTGCGGTATGAGGCGTGGCGCGGTGGAATCTCAAAAATAGGTTGCCTTTCATCTTCTCGATCAGCAAGAGGAAAAGCGAGGCTGAGCCGGCCTAACCGTGTTTGCCCTGCCTCGGGGCCAAAGCCAATATCGCGCTCTACAGCCTGATGATATCAGCCACACCGATACATCAATATGGAAACAAACGCCCTCTTGGACAGCCTCTTCTTGTGTTTTTCTCCCTTTCCATAGCTCTTTACATCGTATATTTTCGGTTCCTTTCAGCTCTGTCGTTTCACACCAGCTTCCAACAGTTTCGACATAAGCAAACTATCAGCTGACACAGAGCATTCATTGAACACTCCCCTACGAGTAACAATATCAATGACGTACTTATAACCAAAATGCAATCTAGCTTGTCCTTTTTGTACTGCGACATTCACTGCTATTCGGCTATGACGCCCCTTTTTGCAATACTCAGATATGACTGACCAACAGTGTAAAAATGGTTGAGGTAGCATGGATGAGGCTCTCCAAACATTGACTTAAACGGGAGAGTCTGCTTCATGAAAAGCAAGCTGGCTAAATAGGTCGGCGTGTATGTCAGGGTTTCAGAGTGAGAGGGAAATAGAAGGAGCTGAGATCAGCGTCAACCAGCTCTGGCGGACTAGCTTTCTATCTTCTTTAGGTATTAGTACAGCTTGCCTCTTTTGGCCCTCCCGAGCAGGTTGCTCCCTGACCAGTCGCAGGTTGCGTCTCTTCTGCTTCGAGAAGCAATAAATTACCCAGCTCTCAATAAAACCCGACAGATTCGCTTTTTGTGCCTTGCCATTGTCGTCGTCAGCGGCATTAACGTCGTCGTTTCCTTGCTTCTATTCCACGTACCGTCTATAGCGCTTCAAACCATTCCATCCTTTTCGCATCAACCTCACGCTGTCTGAAGCCGAAGCAGACAATCGGGGAGGAGCCAGATTTTATCAAGGAGATGAGACAAACGAACATAGGCCAGGCAATTGACACTTAACTTAACGTCCAGTCATTGTAGATATACTACTGCTGCTGCTGCTGCTTCTACTATTCCTGTTAGCCAGAAGACTACGCCGCTACATTTAACACTTGTGCGCGAACCGCCATCATGACCACTTACAATGGCTCCATTGCAGATGTAGCAGAAACGCTCGCTATTGGGAGAAAAGGGGCAGTAAGGCAAGGCTGATTATTATGTTCGCTCCATGAAGCAGGGATCGGGGAGAACACTGGCCGTGCGTCTCTCGAGGGGACAGATCAGAAAGCTGCCGATCGAAAGAGCGAGCCAACTGGTGCTAGAAGGTATCAGTCAGAAAGCGTCGCCTTCGCTGCTTTCCCTAAGGCGTATCTACTTCTATTCTACCGTGGCAGATCTATAACGTTACTCGACTTTCACAGGAGACCCATTAGAGTCAACTAGACAAAGTAGCGACAGCTTTAGGCGAACTGAGACGCTTTCGTGAAAGTGGTAGATGTGGTGGGCCTATTGAGAACATGAGCCTCACTGAGAGAAACGAGGAAAAAACTAAAGTAGAAATAGCAGAGAATGATTCAGTTAGGAGAATAAATCAATGACATGTCACTACGGAACGACGAGTGCTAGAGGTATTTTAGTCCTGGATGAGAGAAAATCTTATTGAACGCAAACTAAAAGGCGGCGGTACTCAATCTTGATGATCGACTATGCGAGATTGGAATATGGTACTTTCACAGAACAGCGATACCAATTATAGTAGTTCCGTTGGGTAGGATAATAGATTAATTAGACGTTTGTCTCTAAGTCTTCGACTGAATCTTGCGAGCGTCCTACATGTACGATACCTGAGACTGTTATTAATGTATTTGTTTATAAAAAAAATGGTTATATTTTTGATAAACAACGTTTCACTATCCCTTCTAAATGCTATAGTACATGCACTGCCAATGTCTGTAATCAAGTGTGCGACCTGGTCATAGAGAGGGAGGAATTTTCATCTTAATATTAACGCATACGAACACCGTGCCGTTAAAACGGAAACGAGTTATTCCTCTAATGAGGATTTATTCCTATGGGTAACTCACCCGATGATCCATCGATGACTTCATGTAGTCTAACTGTGTCTCCAGCAGAACCAGGCTTGGGTACATTATAGATAATGGAAGGCGGGGTGCCTCCCAGAGGCTCCCTTTCTTGTAACCCCATACCACCGGTACTAACTTGTAGCGGTCCATGACGATACCCCGAACCATTTCCCCGACCGCTATTAGAACCATGGTTACCACCTGTCGATCAATTAGTAAAAAAAAAATGATTATGCTGTCGGTATCTTTTTTCTTTAAAAAACTCCGCTCCCTTATTTGTTTAAATTATGGACCAGTGCTTTTTTCTTTTAACGAAAAAAAAAACAAAGAATACCATACGTTAGCTATCCTCAATATGCTCTAATTAAAGAAGTTGTCCATTGGCTAAAACTTATTGATTGAATAGTTTGCGATAAACTGCAAACGACAGCGTTAATTGTTTGAATCACGTCCGCGGCACGAGCGCTGTGATACCGCATGCGTTATTAACTGATTTTATATTTAAAGCATACTCATGAACATACAGTTGTTTTCTGATCGGCCTTTTGAGCAGATCTGAGCAATCTAGTTCGACGAAAAGAGGTGGCCGTGCACGATTAAACGCCTCCATTTGCCATCAGGGAAATGCTGAGCTATATACCCTTGAAGATATCAAAAGTGACTATTTGCTGTACCACTAGATGGGCACGAGCACGCAAAATGAGGAAGGAACACTTCAGTTTACATATGCATTGTAAATCGTCCGTGAGTTATGCACTCAAGGGACTAGTCTAACTAGTATGTAGAGCTCGCATTGAAGAAATTCTTTAAAGCAAAAGGACCCAGCCATTGGATAAACATCTAGATTCGTATATCTATTTTTACTCTAGCTAATGCAAACAGAAGCAGAGCAATAGCTGGCCGTGTCCGCTATGCTACACGTATTGACAGCTGTGATTGCCTGCTTCGGCAAGATACCCAACACTGGAGAGGGACGCAGTTCGGTATTTTCATTCACGGGTGATATTAATTTCGTAGATTCAGATTCAGATATTTATAGGCTTACAGTGGCCTTCTAACAAAGTATTTGTGACAGATTTTTAAAAAATACATCTCGTCAGTTTACAAACAATACCTAGACTCAGTTCAGATGCTGCGGTTTCTACATCGTGGCTGATTGTATCCTGCATTATTATCTTGTAGATTTTGTTAGATAGGTAGATGGTAGTAAATGCTCAATGGTAAATTTTCTATCAAGTCGAATCGCAATCGTAAAAACAGCCTTTCTGGACAATAATACCCGCTTACTGCAGATGTTTCGTATGAAAGAAAAAAGTTTCTACGCCACTGAACGCGACTGGCGAACACTATAAAAATAGACCCATTTTTGTACGTGCACATATGTGTCGTCAGCTATATGTTGTAGATGACTTCCTCGCTTTTGAAGTCAAGACTCAATGTTTTATACGCTAATTATAGATAAATTACTAACGCTTGTCCGACTCACCTTCAGTGTACTTATTGAACGGCGTTCTCGGTCTGTCCGTGGTAAACTGGTTCGACGGATAGGGTGGTGAAGTCGATAAGAAATTTTCAGATATAGACATCAAGGAGGTGGACGGCGACGAGGAGGATGATGACGACATTATGAAATCATCCGTCGCGAAATCTTCGTCGTCGTTGTCGTACTCCTTTAGGATGTCTCGAGATACTAGGAATGGTAAAACGAGAAGAAAGGGGAGCCTATTTATGATACGCCCTTAGCGACTTGTAGTCAAATGTAGCTCAAAAACCAGATGTGTTGCAATCAGACTGCTATGAGCCAGCTACGGATTTTTTCCGTGAGCCGTGACGAAGCTGTTCTTTCAAGCTGAAACAAATACGCTCTCTGAATTCGTAAATCCTGTTCCATTTATTTATCAAACTATTTTTCCGAGCAATATTTCGTGTTAAGCAGTTACTCAGTTTGAATGAAAAGGTAGTAAATTAAAAAAGGCTTAATGGCCGAAGATCGGCGTAATAATCTTCACTGTACCCTTACTTTTATCAGGAAACGAAGTGAGAAAGGCACTGTTAGTTGTGATAAGCGGTACGTTACCAAAATACGGCGAAACATAAGATAACGATATTGACGTTGTTAGGCAATTGATTGATTCATACCCAATCTGATTGATGCGAGCAGTCGTACTAACCGCATGTATATACGACGCGTAGGAAAACGGCAGCCTGCTTAGCGCACAAGATCCTGCCGAAACGCTCGTGGCTCGCGCTCAGCTGGCACCTCCTCCGTCCCTGGCACTCCGCGATCATCGCATCGGTTGCGCCAATCGCGTTGCATTCCTGCAGCCCACAACGGAAGGATCGTCCTTTAGTCTAAGCGATGATTCGTAGGATTCTAGCTATTTTTGCGTTATTGTAATGTTGTTTTCGTGTTTGCTTTCTTTAGCATCTTCTGCATCATTCTGTGACCTATGTGGATAATATCCAACAATGTACTGAGACGGCTTATTTTAAAAAGTCCATAAGTTACGTCAGGTAAAAACTTTTTCCTCGATTCTTAGATAGGAGATTATGTTTACATATACATATTACAGAGCAGATCCACTTGGAGTGCCGAATGTCAATTGCTATCAGTGCTCAAACGTTCATACACAACTTAGTTCCCAAGGAATTAAACATTGCACCACAACAAGCGAGCAGAACACGTTTTTCAACATACATTGTCAATGAATACGACTGATACGACAGTTAGTAACCTACCAGTAGGGTAGAATAGATAAAGAACGGCACTCACTTTAGCGATATCGTCTCGCTGGTGGCACTCGGGCACGCCTAGTTTTGTCGCTCCAAAGAAGGCTGAGAAGACGAGCAGTCTTCGTTGTTTGCCCTGACACTTCAGCAGCATTTTCTCGCCCTGGCAGACCGTTTTGTACAGGAAAAGATTTGGCCGACATTGGTAGGTCACATCGGTCACCTTCTTAATGTGAGGGCACGGATCCCGCTGTCTGTGGACGAAGAACACAATAACGCCATATATAATATGGCATAAGTAGAGTAAAGCATAAGTAAAGCTCGTCTGTCTATACGCAGTGCCATCTGTAAAAAAATACTACATTCGGATTTCAATTGACACACTGTCTACGAAGTAGAATGTGTGTGACATCTAATGATAACAACTCAAAGTTTGCTACAATTCTGGGACAGGTTCACTCATGGTCGTCCGTATTAGGTAGCGAAGAGTGATTTTTACCTGAACTCTTTATGAGGATTGACCTTGCATTCCTGTTGATTCTTGCAAGCTTCCACGAGCAGAGGTAGCGCGCCTTTCCAGATACAGGTGGTTTCATCTGCCGGGTTCTGGCTACCACGGCCTCCACCGCTGCTTCCCTGGCTAGCTCCACCTGGACACGTTCTGCTGTAGGAAGCGTTGCGTCCGTAGAATACCATGTTAAACGTGATCGACGTGTTGCGAGGGCATTTTATGTGTAACATGTCACCGTCACACACTGATTTCTGCATGGTTTTCAGGTGCGTGAAGAACTTGGCTGAAATTCATCAACAAGTTGACCATATAGGATCAGTGTAGTTGACCCTTCTGCTACCTAGGCTAAAATTAATTTAATTCGATTACCCTTAGAGATATTATAGAATGGAAAATATGGAAGATCTATTGTTTAATTATTATTGATTTATTCTTTTAGAACCATCTAGCACAACCACTACCCTTAATGGACTTTACCTAAAGCATACCCAAATTAGTCGAAGCCAAGCTAATAATAATTAATCCCTAGTATATTTTTTCTTTGGTAAGGAATTGCACGAGATAATCATTTTCGCTATGCCTTTGCCGTACTTAGCGTAATAAGGATGTATATTTTAACTTAAAAACCTGCCTGTGCTTCACGATGTTGGTCCGAAGCGAAGTTAACTTAAAGTTTCAAGTTCGACAAGACCCATTCGACCTAGTTGGAGTGCGGCAAATTCCCAAATCGAATAAACATCGAAAGTGTAACTTTTATCTGTAGGGAATAACTTCACAGTTTTACTCTGTGTAAGAGCAAAGCTTTACATGTTAACGTGTAGACCCTTACAATGCCTAGCGTTTATCTTCATACTTTTTGGGCAGTAAGATATTATCTATGAGACTGTATTTGTGAGTTTCTACTTTAGCTGATTTTCGACTGCATCTATTTTGCCATGAATGACAATAGGTTAGCGGGGCTTAATCGCTCAGCCACCTGATAATATTATTTTGTATGCCTCGTGTAAACATGCAGGGGGTGATCATGTGTAGAGTTGTGTTGCTTGAGCCAATTTATAACATCAATATAATGTCCGTATTCCTCAAATACGTGTAGACACGATATACAAGATAGTGTTACGTTGATTGACTATCTCATATTTTTTGCGTAGGAGTTAAATGGAGGATTTAGAAATCTATCCTAGTTTAATTAAAGGTACGTCAACCCAACTTAGCTCCTATATCTTGACAGGTGAACGGGCAGGTCTGTTCCCTTTAAAGATCCCTTTAAAGAAACCATAAGTTATTAGAGCTTTTCCTGTGCGGATCCCGATTTGTCTATAATAATATTATGGAACAACGGTGTCCGATGATCGGGCGTGCTTTTACAGCCCTACCGAGCGCCGCCAATAGAATACTTGTGCCGGTTTCATTGTGTTTACAGTACGGAAGCAAAAATAGTTCATGCTTTTAACTTAATTTAGTAATAAAAAAAAAAGCGCCGACCGCTTTATTGTTCTCATCATTTTGAAATGATGTGAACTTGCAAAATTCAGGAGTGTTAATTGAAATAATTCAGTTTGCATTAATATTGTCAGCTTTACAATAGACGCCTTTCTAACAGTGAAGAATAATCAACGGCAGCATTACGCTACTATATTGGGGCGTTAAATCTCGGCCCCGAAAATCTAGTTCTAGTCCTTTTGGCATTAAGCGCTACCGTTTAGAGTGCGTATAGTTAACCGCGTCTTAATGACTAGAATAGGCCGCTAGTTCTCTTAGAGTAAAAAATTACCGCGTCAGACACAAGCTCACATTTCCTGCATAGAACGACTATACTAATTTATTGATATAAAGTTGTAAAAACAAGAAATCCAGTGTAACGCGAACCATGCACTTCTGGTAACAAACCGAATAGCTTCAGTAAAATGCAGCAAAGCAATGCCTTGCAGTAGTAATACGGTGATTCGCTGAAACGTGCAGGTCACGCAAGACGCACAACGCGGCAGTGAACCCGTCTGTACGTGCTGGTGGTGGTGGTGCTAAATCCAACGATCTCTGTAAGGCTAGTCATGTTACTATTCTGGGAAAATATATTTGATTGTAAAATTGCAGGTCTGTTATTATGATTAACGTCGCCTAGAGATAGTTTGTCTGGTTGACTTTATCCCGCCTTGCATCTAATACTCAGTGCAATTGAAGTAATGATAGAGTAGATACCCACTGGGTCCTTAGTGAAAAACACCCCGGTATCTAGATGATAGCGACCTTCTTTCTCTTCTGCCCAACATCGTTCGTGACCACTCCTGTTGGTCGCGTCTGTCGGGCTCTATTATATTAATCTCTAGGTACATGTTTTCGCAAGTTCGAAGGCTTAGCTGGCAATCCGAGTGTTCGTTTGCGCTGCTTTATCGTCCTTTGTTGTTTTCCACTTCAGGGAAATTAGGCGATCAATGCAATCCAATATTGACTGCTGGTGCTCTCACTTTTTTTACGACGGCTAACAATAGATCTTATCCTTTCAGATAAAGGGATCGGTTAGAAATAAGCTCACATAAATTGCAGCCGGCTTGACGTCTTTGGCTCGTTCCGCTGTTGCGACTGCTTTTACAGCGGTGCTGCTGTTCGGTCTCGTACGGAACTCCTGTAATCGCCACCTTATGTATCACCTTTCCACGATAGCTTCGTGGAAAGTTCGTTTTCTTTTCTCGTCTCGTCTTACGTAACAGTTTTTTTTAATGGCTTACAAACTATGCCGTATCTTGTTCTACAGGTTAAAATAAGTACAACTTTTACGGGAGTGTAATGTCGCCCCTGAACGATTATCACTATCTAGATTACTCTCTACCTAGATACCCCACATTTTCTATCGCTATATTCTTGCCTTACCGCCATTCCAACCCATCGGCCCGGCCATTTCCGGCTCTAGCCGTATCGCAAATGCGTGAAATTATGACTGACCTGTCACGATTGCTCGTCATGCCACTACGCTTGTGTTGAGTTGGTTGCCGTCTCGTTTGTAACTGCTGGTGCCCGTGGCGCTAGCAGTTACAAACGAGACGGCATCATCTCCGTTACGATTGGTGCAATTGTTTGTGCGCAGACGTGCCGGGCTACCGCGGTCACTTCTGCCCAGGTACTTTCTCGTTTCCTAATCTCTCTTTGATGTTCTCATTGACGCACGCGTTCGTGTTTCAAGGCTACTGCAAGAACGAACGATCGGGGCGGGTCGACGAATACAGAATGGAAGGAACAGCAAGCACATGGCGTCATTCCCACCACGCTACATCCACCGTGCTCTGTACAGCCTTCTTTTACTTGCTATACCCTCCGCTTCCACAATTGAAGCCTACTGTAGGCCTACCTAATATAAGCCTCAACTAACACCTGCCTCAGACTTAGAAAACTGTGCTCCCTGCTTTCTATCCCTATTACTATGCTAAGGAATTCACTAAGTGCAAAAAATCATTTTTGTTCAGAAAGCCATTCACAGATGTTAAAGCTTCTTAGCTTTTGTTGACGTGAAGGCTTGAACGGTCAAGCTTCTGGCTGAAGGAAGCCAGGGGTCTCATCAACAAGATACATCACACAACCTGTATGAATATATGTGTACATTAGTACGGACTGTATATAATTTCAGGAATTCCTATCGCTACCGCTAAAAAAATGAGGTGTTGCTCAAATTAATAGCATTTGCGTCATCACTGTAATTGGCGCCAGCGAGCGGAGAGCAGATCGTTGAAGCCGAGAGGGTAACGAAGAACGAAGTAGTCAGCTGCAAGGCTGAGGTCCGTACTGAAGTCCTTTAATGTAGAGGTAGTCGCCACCAAAGCTACGATTTCTTAGCTCGACGATTGCGGAAGGTGTTGAGGTAAACATGCGTGTGCATTAGCAAACGCAATGTCAGGAGCCGAAGTGAAATTTCAGTTCGAGCAGGTATCGCAGAATAACTCGTCAGTGTTGAGGCGCAATCAGGGGACATTTTTACAACAAACGTGGGACGACTCAAGCGGAAATCACAGCGTGCCGACGAGACCTCTAAGGATAAATCGAAAGCACGTACGGTACTACTAGCCGTAAGTTCGTGGTTGGCGCGACATAATATTACAGCCCGTACTAGTAATCATAACTATTTCCGTCGCTATATACAGACGAGGTGCAGGTCGAATAAATAGCATTTTTGTGCCTATATATACATATATAGTGCTAATGCAGGAGGAACTGATCAAACTGACCTATTGCTGTTGCATTTAAAAAATGATCCGTAATAAATGTTGGAATTTTAGACTTCTGCGTTTGAAGAGTCTCAAGGGGCAAGGTCTAAAGTGGCTTGTGCAGTATTGTTGAAATGATGGTGTGCACCTCGATGGCCAGTGTCAGCCACCGTTGCGCTTATCGGAAGTAGCTGACAAAAAAAAACAATCGCAATTGATAACGCACTGTTTGGTACTAAATATATCGTTTTACGCAAAGATCTCTTTGTGTATACTCAAACACTAGTCCAACTGTTGCATCCGTATTGAAGCTTTTTGCCGCTAGCGCTGAATGAATGTTGAAGCAAGCCAAATCAGCGGCTGATCGGGTCGGCAGTGAGCGATTACGAGAGTCACGCAAGGGAAAGGGAAGGGTTGATGAAGGAAGGAGTACAGCACAGCTACCGCTGCTGTCCGCCGCCTCCGCTATTGCTGCCACCATCGCCGCCGATGTAATTAATGGAGAGCCATTGTTCCCCTTCGAAAAAGTAAGAGTGTTGCTTGCAATGTTATCGTTATTGACTGCTGGCGTCGTCACAACACGCCAGCCGTCCTACCCGCTGTCACCGCTCATAGCTGATGGTTAGGCACATACAGAAATGTCGTAGCATTAGCGCTACTTTGTTAGCAGTGGCAGGACTTTCTGTGTTTACACTTACGTTTTCTCTATGAGTGTTTCTCTTTTTTTTTTTTATAACCAAACCAGAAACACGTCTCCCGTTCTGTTCACACTTCTGCCAGCCCCTTTCCCCTTCTTGTCTTTTCTCGCTCGTGCTAGTGCTGCGACTGTTGGTCGCAGAGTGTTGCCCCTATCGGTGTTGCATTGTCTGGTTATATATACAAACCATGCAAGGGAGCGAATGTAGACGCACTTCCGAAATCTCGTCATGTACAGACTCGTCAGTTACCTAGTTCATGATAGTGGGCCTAGAGCGAAAACTTCCGGCTTAGCAGGCTAAACTGACACAGATCTCTAGCTAGCCCTGTCATAATCCTTTCCAAAGCAACTGCCCTCTCCTTTCACCTATAGTTTAACTAATTTTACCACGGGGACTGTGAGCTACTACTGGTATTATTACTAAAAGCTATGAGACACAACCCTCTATATGATGGGAAGTCAGGCAACTACAGGTTGATCGACGGCCAACAGACAAGTTGCTTTTCGCGCATCAGGGAGGCATAACAATGACTCGACTCCGACCGAGGTAACTGCTACCGGGCCCGAGGTGTACAGACTTATGGCGTGTTCGTCTGATTTAAACCGCAGGGGAGATCGCAAAGTTAGGCGTTGAACACTGTGCAGTAGTAGGTGCGGTCTTTTCACGCGACAAGCTACTGCTACGAGTGACGTATTATCGAGAAGTACACTTCAGAGAATTGAACAGTAAACAAAAGCCAAGTGCACCACGAGGAGAAATACTAGCGTCACCATATTCTATGGTGACTTATCCGATGCCAGGTTCGCACAACGACGGCAGCGGCGGTAGCCAGGTAACGAGCTGACACCAGGGTTGATGAGGTGAGACCATGCTTTTCAGTTTGCTCGTACATTACAGAATATCGCTAGCGCCAGTAGCTGCGCAAGAACGCAGAAAGAGTGGTGGTAAGTGAAATATTGTTTCAGTGACTGATATTGCACACAATACGTACGGAATGCCGGAGACATTTTATATCCGTATGTTGTCTTAGGCACGTGCTCTACTGATATTCTATCCGTCTAAATGGATTCCACAGAACAGGTAGCGTACGTGCATAGGAGATCATTACGTTCGTTGTGTTGACGCTCAACAAATCTAACGTATCGTGGGTACTAGTTGGACGTGAAGCACAATTTCTTTCTTTCCCTCTGCGACAAGTTCTGTTCAGATCAGATGAGCTGCAATAACGGAATCCACAAAGAACAACTAATAAAAGAGCGTATCATCGTTATGAGTAAGCGACTCGCGTCTTTCTTGAAATTTCGTAATGCTCCAAGTATGGGTAGATGCAACGTTTGCTTGAATACAAGATAAACTCAATCCAGTTATTATAGTATTACTCTACGCGGTCGAAGACTGCACAAAGCAGCATTACCTGTTTCCCTTGCCTATATAATATTTTATTAAAATCTTTTGATTGAAGACTTTTCCAGGTAAAATGCTTTTTACGTCTATCCAACTGAGCAATTATATAGACAATAATGTTATATTGCTATGTTTCCATTCAGCGTACCGACAATCGTCCATACAACCGTAATAAAGTAATGCGTGTTCAGGAACATAGTTGGAAATTCTGGGACTCGCCAGTGGTATTTATGAGGCTCATATTCATGATTGGTTATTGCTTACGCACTTCTTTGATCTTCTTCTATCAAATTGCACGCTCATGTACTGTAGTAGTTTATACTTCCTTATATATATATATATATATATATATATATATATATATACATATCATCTCGAATATTCTTATGTAGCATCTCTACACGTGCCGTTCCATAAAATGTAAGGCGAGAGTTCGAAAATCATAAACAATAAGAGAAACAGCCGGATGGCCAATGCGATGGCCTGCGAGATGGTCCAATCGCTAGGGCCGTTTATTTTGTGCCCTATTTTTTTGTAGCTCTTTGGCGGTTTGTCTTTTCTGCTCCACCTTCGCACTTCTGAGCAACATGTTACTGCGCCAGCATATCACATCTTAATATCGATTGACTTGGCATACGTGATCTCGATCGAAGTGGCGAGGAGAAAGGCAACGCTGAAATAGAAAATGTACGATGATGACGATAACGAAGATGATGGCCGGTTCGAGGTAACAGAAGCAATAGATGAGGGACTTATGCGTTGGCGTTGGATATAGCCTTGAAGAGTCGGCCCAATCGTCGATTTGATTGCCAGGAGACTATCGTTCCGGCTTTACAAAGAACGATTACAAACTATTGTCCGCCATCTTTCGGTATCCTCAGATTGCAGCAGTTCTCGAGTCTAGTCCTTCTTAACGCAATAATGAGATGGAGCTATCTTGTCTACGCCCCTAGATGTTACTGGAGACCACACCAGCGAGCGTTGAGCCAACCCCGTGATCGCACAGACGAAAGACGGACAGGGTGGCAACTGCCTCAGGAACCCAGAAACCAAACAGCGCAGGGCTGTAGCTAGTGTTACTACTACCACTCTATCAGTTGACAGAACAGTATACGTTCATAGCAATCGGCCACAATCACTAGGTAAACACCGTCCCTGTACACATAGACCAACGCACGAATATACTTGTACCATTCGACTGGCCACTGTGGTTTGATTGGATATTGTTTCCTGTTCTGTGGTAGCCGTAATACAATTGGCTTGTGCCCAACAGCACAGTAACACACCGAAAGATCGACACGTCTAATGCTGTGAATGATAATACACTATTAAAGGTAACGACAACGTATTCTTTGCGAAATTTATTATGGCTACGTGTCGACCATCAATGGCTATTTGGAAAAAAAGGTTAGAATTTACTTACCAAATGTTAGAAAAGCTGATAAAAGAAGTTTATGTATAACGTAGACTTTCACTTGCTGAGGTTGGATGGTGTACATACAATTTTATTTTTTTTTTTTCTATTATTTTTGACAAGCGTCTAAGTGACAATTGCGATAAAACTATAAAAATCTAATACTTTATAGCCGTCCATATAATTTCTGTCGTTTTGGGCTGTATTATCGTTATTAATTGTATCCAGACCACAAGCCCGCACAGACATCTGTGTACTAATTGTATTTGTATCATTCTATAAGCACATACACATTGGGCTAGTAAATTTTATAGATACGTATATACATTTATATAATGTAAAGTACTTATCGAAAGTATTATCATGTGAAACTTACGAACGTTGCTTCCATAGGCAATGGAAGGACCGAATAGAGCAGCTAGTAGGAAAGCGGCTGCGAGCAGCGCATAGATCATGGTTGGCCGACGGCGCCTACAGTTGTGTTGGAAGACGTGCAGATAGGGGTTTGAAACGTCGTCGTCGTTGTCTACAGCGACACCGGCAGCAGCATAAAATAGCGAAAACCATTGACCGTGGGCCGCATCGCTGTCGATAAGCAATGAGCGTGACGGTCGTGAAGACGACAGGTCGTCGCGGTGGCTGTAGCAATGATGGTAATGATCATTATGGCTGCTGCCACAGCGAATGCGAAACTCGTGGCTTTGTTGTTTATAAATGAATGACAACGGAGAAGAACGGAAAGAAACGTTAGACCTCCTGGTACTCCCACCTTTCAACCTTTTCGAAAGGGGTGAAGGTAGGCCCATGGAGTAAGCGCTCCTCACGCCCCCGGGCGAGCAGCCGTCCATCGTCGACTCGTTGGTCCCTTGACAAATAAACAGCCTGAAAATTAAAAAAAAAATGGAAAAAAGACTAGAGTGAAAATCATTTCGTTTGGCTACTTAAGTCATTATTTAAGGACACATTATAAAACAATACAATTTATAATTATGGCCTGCGAATGTCTAAGCATCTAAAATACGCTTGGCTTTTGTTGATGTCTACACAAATTTCTTATGACTATTTAATTAGTAAAATAATATACACCGTCCACATATTCCAAGGGACGAAGAGATAGAAGCGCTCGAGGGGAGTCCTTGTACGTTTTTATATATTCAAGTTCTGCTGGAGTCTTCGTCAGAACATATTTGTCATAACTAGACGTACCGAATAAACAAACGCCACTTTCAGTGCACATACTGCTGCATCAGTATGTACATCGCTACTTTTTCAAAAGCTCATAATTACTACGACAGTTATCCGCGCCAGCCTTCTCAAACCGAAGCCAAGTTTGCCGCTTACATTCCGATGGCTATGCGCAGCCACTGCTACTCTGTCTTTGTTTTATCTAATCATTTTATTACAGTTTAATTGTCAGCCGTTCTATAGCCACTCAACAGTCGTTACTATAATTCATAAGGCTAAACGGCCATCTTCGTTACACCGAAGCAAGCGTCTCCGCGCTTCGTCCCCTTTACCCTATACTTTTTCGTTCTTCGTTGTTTCTCACCTATTCGCCAGTTGCCCCTCCACTGCGAATATATCGACTTGGCTACCACAAGATTCATACTAACGTTATCTCTATTTGAAGGGCGCTTCTCGTCTGTATCCTCCTTCGCGTCGTGGTTTATACACACAGGTCAACAAACAGCCATGAACATACTTCCCTAGATGGAGCTAATTCGCGCAGGTGTTAAGCTCATAGTCTTCTCGTTCGCCGCCACCACCACTAGTACAGCCACAAATGCGTCTGCATGCAGCTCTACTGCTACTACTTTTTCCCAGACCTTTATTAACAGACGCCCAACCTATACAGCTGAAACTAGGCATTGCAAAACAAGCCACATTCCTCTTTCCGCAAATAGCCCAAACTCAACTCACAGCACCTAGACCCCGATTACTCCAGGTATATCCGTATTACTGCTCTCGTGGCTACCACTTGATGGTCAGTATAGCATTGGAGGAATAGCCAGTTGCTGTGGCAGTAGCTGCGGTGGAAGCTAAATACGACACATCCATTGTTCCAACACGTCGGGCCGAAGCCGATGCCACTTGCTAACAGCTCAGCAGTACAACGTTTCCCGCCGCAGCCGTTGTTATAACTCAGTCAGGAACCTTACCTAGCATATATTCTGCCCGGCTCGACGACGAGCAACCGGTCTTGATGTCGACTGGTTCAAGACCAAACTCAGGCCAGGCTATTCCAACTAGCCAAGATTCTGGACAGAGACCCGAAAACTCAAGCTGTTCGGTAAAGGCGGTAGAGAAAAAGCTTCAGAAATGAGTGGGAGAAGGCAGAGGTAAAAAGCGCTAAGCTGTCAAAAGTCGCTTCTCCCCCTCTTATAAGCGTTCGTCTTCGTTCAGGTTTTCTTGGACTTGCCTCGTCCACCCACCCACCTACCATGTTTAAGAGATGCTGCTTTTTTTTTTTTAGAATGGTAGTGTCGTCGCCGCTGCTGCTGCCTCCGCTGATAGTGATTGTAGCCATCGCGTGAAGGTGGTGCGAACAAGCAAACCAGCTTGCGACCAGGACAGCTTGCTATTGCTGCTGATGATGCCTCTGTTCGGGCCACTGTCAATAGGAGCTGAGAAATCCTACACTTCTGTGCTTCTGCTAACCACCGCTTGCTTCATGCTGCTCTGTGTGTCGAAGTCTGTGTATGTTTACGGGGCTGGATGACAGTCGGTGTGAGTGCGACCATGTCACTTCTACTGCTCTCCTTCGTCCCTCTTACTCGTCTTCCTGAGGAGTGGTCCAGCTCAGTCCGTCAGTTTGCCTTGTACCCATCTACCAGGCCAACATGAGAAGCGTAGGAGAGCAGCAGTATACTTGCAATGCTTCCCCTCACGCTGACCTGTTGCTGCAGTTGGTCCTCGGGCTATGAAAGCTGTCTGTATCATGCTGGAGACAGCTCCCATAGCCATCAGGATGGATCCCAGCCCAGCGCATAGTCGTCGTCGTCGTCTTCATCGCAGTTCCTAATCTACCTCCTTTCCCAATCTCGTTTGAGCGTTCTTTCGTCTGAGTTGCCTTCTTCTGGCTTCAACAGCCAGGCAGCTGCTGCGCAGTTACTTCATTCTCTTCAATGACTGTGACTGCTGCTTCTACTGTAGGCTTGCCCCCCATCCGTCAGCGTACAGGAGATTCGTTGCTCCCCAACGCTAGCCGTTTTTCTTCCAAAGTATCCTTCCTTAGATTATCAAACCTCTTCGACGTTACGCGTTGTCAGCGGTGTAATAGTGCTGGTAGTTATAGTGATGGTGGTGGGAATCATCAAACAGCGAAGCCAAGGCAGCAAGGACCAACTGCTTGCTTGCTTGCTAGCTTCTTCGCGCGACCCGCTTGTAAGCCATCTGCTTGAATGGCGGATGACGTTCGCAGCGATCTCTATGACTTCCGTGAGATCTACCTACCACCTAACATTAGTCACCCAATGGCCACGAGCGAACAACCCCCGAGTCGGGTCTCCGAGAATCTTCCATAAGCAATTTCGTCTGTTTAGGCAAGACCTCTCCTGTTACGGTCCGGCAAACGACGCCTAGGCTAACTATGAACCTATGAAGGAACGTATCGTGGAACAACACCATAGACATTCGCATTGACAGATGATTTCCTATTCTCCAGCTTGCTTATTTTCTCGGTACTGTCTTTTTTCTATTCAAGCCTGATACAACAAGATTTCCCATCATCGTCAGGTCTTTTCTATTATGGCTTTTCTTTACCAGTTATTATACATAGCACGCTACGACGATCACCATTACAATATCCTTAGAGGAGTGCCCTTAGCATTTCAAACGACCAACGATGGTGTTATGGTTGTTTGCTTAGAAGTAAGGAAAGTCCCATATTGCGTCTATTACGATATCACACGACCCCACTACTAACACTGCCGTCGCCGTCGCCATCGTCTGCTTCATGCCTTCGACCAGGAGCCGTTAAAAACTTTCATTTTCCATGCTAGAGAAGAACGAAAACACATGTGTGAGTGTGTGTCTGGATGTGTGTTATGTTTGTTTATCTAGGGCGTCTACGAGCAGCCCACGCTCTTCACTTGTATACATCGTTGTTAATAATGCGTTGCCGTTCACAACCGCGTTCATGGGAGGCTGAGGGCGCATGATCTTTTGTGAACGTGCATGTGTGTCGTCGCTTCGATATAGGTGAGTTCGACGGGTTGATTGTCCGGACGAACGAACGTCAAAAGAGAAAGTTCTACCCTGCTCTAGCTCTGCAGCGTACTCTAGCATTACCAAGTATTTGTGCGCATGGAGCCTACCTGCCAGCTCATGTCTTCTATCTTCTATACTAGTTAAAACGGGCGTCAATTTTCGACTTATATGTGTGTGCGCACTTGCTGGTTATAGGGTTGGACGCCGCTGTTTACGAGCTGTTGCTACTTATAGGTTTGGAGCATAGTGCACGGTGTTGCGTTGCTAGCTGCTTGCTATCCTGAAACAGCTGTTCGACTGTTGCCTTACATAGGACTTGTTTGTAGTGAGAGGTGCCGTTCTAAAGCCAGGATAATGGCAGAGCATCTCGACCAACAGGAAGGATTCGTGCTTGACGGAGCGGGGCATTCCATCAGTTGCTGTGTTGCCGTGCTTGTTCGGTCCGCTGCTGCTGCTGCCGCCACCCTCAGACGCGGACGAGTTCCAAGATGCGACACGCATATTTGCACACGAACAGCACTCCGCTCACACCTAAACCTCATATGTATCCCTTTTCGAAGCGGAAACGATTGGGAAAGCTCTATTACGATACAATGTTATGGCAAGGGTAGTAACACACGACCGTAATCTTTTAGGGCTAGGAAAGGTTTCCTTACCTGACACAAGGAACAAGACAACAGAGCTTTTAAAACATGTCAAGAATCTGACATGTTCAACCTTTAGCAACAACCAGGTTGCGGGCGCTATGACGGCGGCGGCGGTGGCGGTGGCGGTGGCGATGGCGGCAACTACGAACCAATGAATATCTGCCAGCTCCGCAACAAGACGAAACAATGTTCTTTGTCACACCATTCCTTTCCTTTATAACTTCCCTGCCGTTAGAATGTCCTAACGTTTTGTTGATCGAAAAACGGCTTGGGAACCGCTGAGCGGTTTTCTTTTTTTAATTGTGCAATGTTACCCATCACTGTCTGATCTTTTCCCTCTAAATCGTTATCCCTATATGCTACATCTTCGTTTTTCTTCGTCCTTTCCGCAACTTTCTGCTGTTGTCTTCTTGTAATTACTAAACAAGCAATATATTAGTAGGCTTATGCGAGAGTGTCGCTATACTCGGAAGCCTCGTGTGTCAACCGCATTGATGAAATATACCTCTCAGTATTTACACTGTCATATCTTATACGACATAGGAGGGGATAGGTGCTTCCATGGTCGGCCTGCAGCTTGTGGTCTATGTGTCGTGGTCTTCGTCTCGCTTCCTTGTTGATTTGTTGGTATTTGACTCGTGATTGATGAAGCAATGTTTTAGTAATTAGCAGTGAATTAGTTGTTTTGTCTGATAATGAAAAAGAGTTCATTTCGACGATAGCAGTAGCCGTTCTACTCACCTATAAAGCTCTTGGTGATATTTTCTGGGCGACAAGAGTTATACGCAAAAAAATATATGCAGGGTACGCCGCCTAAGCTTTCCCTGGAATTTTTTCTTATGTTTTGTTTTTAAGGCTGTATTAAGATCCAAAAAAAAAAATATATTCCAACAACTGGTTGTACATGTGCTAAAAGTGTCACTCCTGGCAGTTGTAGCTATAAACCGTTATGATTTGCTTCAATTTAGTAGCTAAATCACAGGCGGGACGTTTTTAGCTCATTATTTAATCGGAAACTAATGGTCT